CCCCAAAACCCCAAAACCCCAAAACCCCAAAACCCCAAAACCCCAAACGATAAAAATATAAATTAACAAATTAAATAATCGATTATATTTCAATTTTAAATATGAAAAATTATTTAAGCTTACTTATACTACTCCTACTTTGTTTTGTGCTCAATCAAGTTTAAGGTATTAACTTTTTCAGAGATTCCTTTAGAGGCACATTTTTCCACAGCAATTTTTCTTAGCCTAAGTATCAATGTAATATACATATTTCAATTACATCTTACTATAAAGAACTAATAAATTCAACTTGGAAGACATATTCAGTGGCAGAAGGTGTATCACCATATTCAAAACTATGGCCTGCTTATATTTCAAATGACAAGGAAATGGATCTTTTTGTATATGAATTCGGCAGAAATTTATCATGGATAAGTAACATTAGAGGTTCCTCCGCTTAGCTTAAACTCAATAACATCACAACTACAGCTTCTAAGGGAGCTCTATTAATTGACTTTGATAAAAACTTTAAGGAGGACATTTTGCAATTAACTTATGACAGGAGACGTATCCTCATGTTTTTCAAGCAGACCTCATTCCATAAGATTACCTGGACATCATAAGTTCTATTTGACGTTAAAAATGCAACTTCTGATCTGACACTTCTTGCAGGAGAATTAGGTGATATGAGGATATCTTCTTTTATTGTAGATGATTTGAACAACGATGAATTGCTAGATTTAGTAATATCTCTAGACATATCTTATGATGATGGTGGTGAAAAGACAGTCATCTTGAGGGCATTCTAGCAACCTGATTAAACTTTTAGCATTGATAAAATTGATCCCGAATGTGGCAAATTCTTGTTAATTGACACAGCTCCTGTAGAACAGAGAGACTATAGAGATATAGTGATCGTTACGAAGAGTCTAAAAGTAAAATACCTATTTAATTTTATGAAAATTTAGATAGCGTTAATTAAGAATTTTGACCCAAACTGGATGTATGTAGAGATTACCCCAAACTTCATCACTACCTAGCAATATTATATAATGGAGAGATTTAGCGGACCAAGTTTTCACGTTTACATGGTAGATTTTGACAAAGATGGCTATATAGATATCGTGTTACCAAATTTTTTGACAAACTAATTAGTTTATCTCAGGAATCCAGGAAGTGCTTATTGGAGAAAAATAAGTTCTATTGTTTATCAAGCCAATAAATAGAAATAAATAAATGACTTGAAGACTATGGAGAAGTGGCAGCAAATTCATGTGGTATAGAGTGCTTTTTCGGACTAGATCAAGGATTTCTTACTGATTAATATTGACAGTGAGGATAAACTAATCCCTGTAATTCTTTCAAATAATGCAATAAGTAAGTTTATTAAAGCATTATTGAGTCTTAATAACTTTAAATTTAGATCTATTTTATCCCTATGAGAAAGTCTCGGCAGATGGAAAGCACAAAAATGTAACTTACAAAGAAAAGCGTATCACCATAGATGGCAAAGTCAACAGTGATAAACAATTTACAAATATATACGACGCTGATGTCTAGAATGACAATGAAGTTAATTTCATCGTATTCTCAAATACTACTAAATCAATCTATCTTATTCAAAGGGAGAAGGCACGAGTTGGCTTCAAATGGTCATCAAACTTTTGGATTTACATTATTATCTTCATCCATGGTGGGGCTTTACTGCTTGGAATTTTCCACTTCTCCTTGTTATAGTATAACACCAGTAAACTTAAGATGACTGGCTCATCATCTTAGCCTGTATTTGTAAGCTAATTTATCATTTAAATTCGTTAGAATCATCTTGAACTGGCTCAGATTAACAGGGAAATGGCATAGTCAGGCTGGAATATGGAATAGCTTCCTGGCATCAAGACAATACAAGAAGGAGTTGAGGCAAGTGAATGGGATCCCTCAGACCCCTCTAAGAAAAAGGTTAAAAAGAGTAGAAGATATTCATTTGAGTAGAGATCGAATCAGAAGTCCAATAAGCAATCTCAAAGAGATGGATAAAATCAATAGCAATAATGAATTGATGATCAAGGTATAAGAGATTGTATATAAACTTAATTAAAGCAATAAACTGCTAAAAATATACCAATAAGTAGATTCAATCTTTATGGTAATAAACATAATTACACTAAGTTAAATCTATATAATATTTACTTCTCATAATTTCTAGTTTTCCCAAAGTCTAAATTCTTTCATTTTGGGCAGAATCTCCTTGTCTAATTTGTCTCTCAATCTATTCCTCAGGTCAATCAACTTTATCATTATCAAAGGGTTAGTCACTAGGAAGTTGTATATCAATGAGGCTGCTTCAATTTATGGATGAGCCATAAGCAGTGTCAGAATTACTCTAATTTCATAGGAAAATGGGAAGAAATACAGCACCTTATGAATCAAATGTAATACTGAGTAAAAAATCCAATATGTAGTCCAGTGAGTTAATTTCTGAATATATTGTCTTCTCTAGTTGTAGTATCTCAGGAAAAACAATGTTTCATAAATGGGATACAGTAACCCACAGCATATGTCCAGTACAAATAGTAATATTCCACATGATATCTAAAAAGCGTACATCTCTTGAAAGTTATAGCAGTCTGTGTTTGGTAAAAATATTTGGTTTTGTGAGAAAATAGTACGAGTTTGCTTGCACTCGATTAAGTAAATTATATTATATCTATGAGTTAGAAATATTTAATTATAATAAATAAGAAGGAAGATTAAATATGCCTCATTTGATTTCTAACCTTTACGAGAAGGCCTACACACCCTTCACCGCAAAACTTGCTCCAAGACATCTTTGGTCAAAGCCCCAACTTGGTATGCCCACTCTTGTCTCTAAGATCATTTATTATAGGCAGAAAGCCACAAAAGACTACCAGATTCGGCTCTGATCCAACTGTCAAGGCCACCTGGAGATTCATCAGATCATGGATTGCTCAAAACCACAAACTTTACTATACCTACGTCCTTGTTTGTAAGAATCTCACCATCTTTATAATATTCAATAGGCGCATTTGGTGTTTATCAATTCTGGTGGTACTCAGTAGTAGGATATTATCAAAGAAGAAATCATCACGTAAGTTATCGATTAAATTCCATGTTGATTTAATTAACAAAATTATAATAGAGATCTCTTGAATACGCTATCTTAAAGGAAAAGGAATGGCTACTCATTAAGCCAAAGGAAGAAGAAGAAGAGGAGGAAGAAGAGGTTCCTGCTGCTGAAGGTGGAGAAGCCGCTTCTACAGGTGGAGACGCTGAGGAAGAATGATCACCTTACGCAAAATCAAGATGAGTTAATGTCGAATTGCAAGCATATAGAAATATTGCTGTCAAGCTTTTTGACATTAAATTTATTTAAATATTCTATTCATCTCACCTATTGTAGTATCATGGGGTTTTGGGGTTTTGGGGTTTTGGGGTTTTGGGG